CTCTTTCCTCAGTTCTTCACGTTTTCTTCCTCCTATCCGTCTTTTGCTTCTGTTGATCATCCCTACCCTGTTTCCATCAACATCACTAAGTGTATTTGCCTAAGGATTTCTGGGCGCTTGATTTAGGACTTTCCCAGGGGCACTCCTGAGGACCCTGGGGCAATCTTCCCAGCCTCCAGAAGGGTATGGCTGTTTGGCTGAGACTGCTGGGAACAGTAGCAAAAACAGGAGGACAGAATAGAATGCAGAGTTCTCCTGCCTCCAAGCATGTTTAACGGAATGGCTTCACAGCGGCTGTGCTGAATCCTGTGGGTACCGCTACTGCATCCTGTCGTCTGGGAAGTTCACAAACTATATAATGACTTTCGTGTGGCAGCCACCTGGTGACCCTGATTCCTAGAGTCTCTGACTAGTGCCTTGACAGTTTCAAGGAGCTGTGTGGACCACTAGTGGAACACCAACCTGCAGACTTCAATACTGGGCTTTAGAGCCATTCTGTGAAATCCCCTCTGGAAAGGAAAGATTCAAGCTTAATTTTCGACTTCAGTGTGCATTCCAAAGCTAGCCCTGAGAGCTGGGGGATGGAAGATGTTAAGCAGAAGGTCAGACCGGTCTTTGGACAATACTGGCAATGAAAATCACCCAGATAGCTGAAAACAAAGTAAATGCCTCTTATCTCGTCTTACCTTGCCCATTACACTGGTGATGAAAACTGTAAAAATGAGCCCAGCATAAGGTTTCCTACTTTTTCCTTTGGCAAGAGATAAGGAACACACTAATAGCTGAGTCCCCAGAGGGAGCTGATATTTAGACAATAGATTTCTTTTTCAAAATCCCTTAACACATTAAAATCTTCTCATTCTCCCTAAACACAGTTCTCCAGAGTCCTTAATAAAACTTCTCTCTCTCTCTTTCTCATATACAGATGACATCTTCTCCTTTGCCCTCCCACTGTACCATTCCCCCTTCCTGTTTTCCCTCTAAGCCCAGCTGTCTGCTGCTGTCACTCAGGAAGGTCCTGCAGCCACCTGAAGCCGGCCCCAGTCACTGCTCCCTGGGGCTTGACTGTAAAAATTGTAATTCCTTCAATGCTGGGCCCATGGCTGTGCTTCCTCTCAAGAATGTCTGGGCTGTTCACTTCCCAGTATCTTGGGTAACTGCTGATCTAAAACAGTAAGCTTGGCTGGCCTGAATCATTCAGGGAAGGCTCTGGTGCTCACAGCCCCACAATTACTTCCACAAATGAATCAGGAAGGAAGGGGAGGCTGATCACAGTGAAGAAGGGAGCTCTTTAAACATACCCTCTATAATAAGCATGTAGAAGAAAGGAAAGGGAAAACTGACAGGGGGTTTTATTGGCTCTCAGTAGAACATAACACAGTTCTCTTGTTTGCACAGGGAGGAGAGGCTGTGATTGGCTTCTCACAGAAGAGATTATACAGAGCTCAAGGCCAGCTGCAGCAAGTTTGTGCAAAGGCAGTCCGGGCAGATTCTTAGTGGGAAGCCCACATAACCATCAGGCTCCACATGCAGAGAAACAGGAGCTGCAGTGGCCAAACAAGACAGGTGCAGTGTCTGTAGGTAAAGGAGCACACCTGAGTCTCCACACAGTTTCAAGGGGTTACAGCTGGAATTTCACTCGGCTCAGAGAGTAAGGTGGTCCAATACAAAATGTCACACCACCCTTTGGGAAAAATGATTGCTTTGCTCTAAATTGCATTCTGTCCATTTTTTTTTTTCTAATTTATTTCACACCATAGGCTGAAAAACAGCTTCATAGCTCCTGATTTACCTGTGAAAATATTTCCCATAGGAAGAGGTTTGTACGTGCATGTACACCCAGAAGCTCAAACAAAGGAACCGATATGAAAATGATAACATAAAGATAGTGCTAAGGAACTAAGAGATGGGAAAGGTGTGTCCACTGAGGGAGTTTTCTTTTAAATAACAGGTAGTTTTGTTGATGTCAAACATTGTACTAGGTATGTATTTAGTACTCATATCAACTCAATGAGTTAAGCATTAGCCTTATTAAAAATGTGGAAACTGAGGCAGCATAGCATAGAAGCCAGCACATGAGGCTTGGAACCAGCTCGTTCTGCTTTCAAAATCGAGCTCTGCCCCTTGTTGGCTGCGTAATTCTGGGTAAGTTACTATATTCACTCAGCCTTGATTGTTCTCTTGTAAAACAAGATCTATCTCATAAAGTTGTTGTGAGGATTAAATGAGATATATAAAATGCAAAAGCTGGAGCATCAGCAATTTAGGATATTAGGTTTCCTCCTTGTTCTATGACTAAATGTTCAAAAATCATTTCAATTCAGTTTAGCAAAAAATGATCTTTAAGTTAAAAAAAAAAATACTCAAGCCCTGATTACCTGTTTGACTTGAATGAATTGGAAGGTTATGAAACTGCAGATATGGACCAGCTTTTGAAAATCCTGGAGGGGGAATTAATGATTTTCAAGCATTAGAATGTACTTTAATTTGGATACTCTTTAGTTTGCAGGAAGGCAAATTATCTCTCTTTTTCTTTTTCTTTTTTTTGAGACAGAGTCTTGCTCTGTCACCCAGGCTGGAATGCAGTGGCACAATCTTGGCTCACTGCAACCTCCAATTCCCAGGTTCAAGCGATTCTCGCGCCTCAGCCTCCCAAGTAGCTGGGACTACAGGCACATGCCCTATGTCTGACTAATTTTTTGTATTTTTAGTAGAGCTAGGATTTCACCATGTTGCCCAGGCTGGTCTCAAACTCCTGAGCTCAAGCAATCCACCCATCTCAGCCTCCCACAGTGCTAGGATTACAGGTGTGAGCCACTGCACCTGGCCTGCAAGTTACCTCTTGATTTAAAATATTTTCCAATCATGAAGGAAACAAGCTCCTTGGCTTGATTCTGCTACTTTCCCCCACCTCTGACTTTGGGGCTGGGGGCAGAGAAGCAGAAGCTGCTGAACATGACTCTCAGCCGGCTGGGCAGCCATCCCTCAGTCACAGTGAGCTTGATGTGCATGTTCTAGGAGGAAGCAAGGAGACAGATCCATTCTCCAGTCCTGGGGAACAGGAGAAGAGTGGGGGAACCCCTGATTCCTCCCCTTCTGTAGCCAAGGCAGGCTACTTTAGGGAGGAGACAGGGAAACCACCAGAGCAGTTCAAGATCAACCTGAAGGAAGTGGGAGTCAGGGACAACCTGCTTAAGGAAGTGCATGTTTGCTTTGTACCTGCGTGGTGTGGACCAAGGAAAAGGCTTACCCTAAAAGAACAAAGTAGGCTCCGACAAATAAATGTATTGAAGGTATGATTTACACTGGTGCTTCCTGCCCAAATGTTGAGCCTGGTGCTTCCTTCTTGAAACTAGGCTGCTCTACTTACATGAAACAAACTGGGCAAAAGTCAATCCTGAGTGTCTGAACCTCCCGCCAAGTAAACAGCAAGAGATTCCAGGCCCAACGCTCCCCACCTCCACCTCCAAGGAAAGTGGATCTATCCGGAGCAGCTAGGTCAGAGGAGGCAGGAGAAGAGGGTCAGTGCGTGAGCTCCAGGTACCTGGAGAATATGGCTCTCCCGGGTGTACTGTCGCTATGGATCTTCCACTCTTCACCCAGAATGTCTTCCCTCTATCCCCTCCACCTCCCCAAATTCGAGCACTAGGGGCCACCTCAGAACCACAAATCCTGAAAGGACCACCCAGGTGACTTGGGCCCACACACCCCTCTTTTGGGGTACACTTGGTGACACGCTAGCAGGCTCTTGGCCTCAGCTGGTGGTGCTGTATAACCAGATTCGACATCGACAGAGACCCATCTTTTTATCAGCCCCAAGTACGAAGCCTGACGTTAACGATGTGGCCTGCCTGGGAGGTAAGGCGGCAGCGCTGCCAGAACTGATGAGGATGGGGCACAGGTGGGAAACCTGGTTTAACAAATTCTTCATCGATTCGGGGGAGCACTTTCCATGACCCAAGTCGGCGAAACTCGCAGGTCCCTTTCCTGGCCGGCGAAACTCGCCCCTTTCCGGGAGCGGCCCCTCGGTGCAGGTAACGGGCGCCCGGGCGGCTCCGCTCCGCCGCCTAGAGCCTGGAAGCCGCCACTGCGGCCCAGGACGCTCCGGCCGCGCGGCTGGCGCCGACTCCGCACGCTGGGAGTCCGTGGCCGCACGGCGCTGGCAATCGGGGGTGGTGTCTCAAGTCAGGCGCTTCCTGCCTTTTCCCGGGCCCGGGTGCCCGGCTCGCGCCGCCAAGCTCCGGGATCCCAGGTCGCCCCGCCCAGCCCCGCCGCCCGCGCCCAGCTCAGTGCGCTCGGCGTCCCCGCCCCTTTCCCCAAACCCCCACCCTCTGTGCCCTCAGGGGGGCACCCCCGTCGGGGCGGGAGGGGGTCAGCTGTGCCCCGGTCGCCGAGTGGCGAGGAGGTGACGGTAGCCGCCTCCCTATTTCCGCCCGGCGGGCAGCGCTGCAGGGCGAGTGCCAGCAGAGAGGCGCTCGGTCCTCCCTCCGCCCGCCCGCGCCGGGGGCAGGCCCTTCCTCGCCAGCGCCTTTTTCCCCCGCACCGCGGCGCCGCTCCGCCACTCGGGCACTGCAGGTAGGGCAGGAGGCTGCAGCGCCTGCTGCCCGCCCGCCCGCCCGCACGTACAATGGTCCCCTCGGCTGGACAGCTCGCCCTGTTCGCGCTGGGTACGTACGCCACCTGCGGCGCCCCCTGCGCCCCGCGACACCCTGCTTCCCTTGGCTCCCCGAGTTCTCCTTTCCGGGGGTTTATGAGCCCGCCTGGGAGAGGGGAGACAGGCGAATTGTCTCAATGGGTTGGCGCCTGGGAGGGAAGGGGAGTCATTAAGGATGACAAAGAGGAGACTGTCCGGACGAGCGCCCAGGCTTCCCGGGGAAAGTGGCTGCCTGGGCCGTGCGTGAGAACGCCTGGGAAGGGGAGGGAAGCGGAGTGTGAACCAGCTTGAACTTTAATCCGCCGCGGCTGTCTGCTCAGACAAATGCCCACACCTACCTGCTTACCTGGCCGCCTCCAAGCCCGGCTCCGCCGGCGTCGCTGGCGTGTAGACCCGGCTGCCTCGGAACCGGGGCAGGCGTCCGACCCTCTGGCGGGGTCTTGCCTGCGCCCCTGTGGCGCCCCCTTGCTCACCCCCTAAGCCCCAGCGACCAGCAGAGGAGATGTTCGCGATCCGCAAAGGCGCCCTCAATCTCCTTTCAGAGCTGTTGAGTTTTGGGGTAGGTTTTGGATTTTTGTGCGGATTAATGATTCTTTTAATTAATTTCCCTGGGAGAAGTGGTTTTGGTGTCAGCCGAGGGCAGGAGTGAAACCCTAGACCTTGAGCTGCCAGTTTCCTTTGAGTTTGTTCTTGGAAATGAAGGAAGGATGAAGAAGGGGAGGGGAAGTGAAACCCCTCTCCCGGGTCGGGCCTGCGGAGCGGTGCGTTCTCCAGCGGCGAAGTTCACAGATCTGTCTGGGCGCGATGAGGGCGCAGCGCCGCGCGCCTCCGGGCCAGCTCTTCCCCCTTGTGCTGCCGGGTCTCTCTGGTGTTGAGATAGCTGATTAACAGCGCAGGTGTCCCGGTTATTGCTACAGTCTTCCATGAAGTGTTCGCTCAATATGCCTGGAGTTTAACCCTGGATAGCACGTGGCTCGCTACCGGGTGGTTAGATTTTGTGGAAAGCCATGGAACCCCTCCCCCGAAATGCCCAGAGCCGCAGCCTCACCCAGCTCCGTGTACAACTTCAGGGGGTTCGCGGCCCCGCCTGCAACCCTGCCCTGGAAACGCTGATTAAAAACCGCAGCAGAAGGGGAGGCATCCTCTAAGAGAAATACAAGGCAGCTGTGGAACCGGATGCTCCCAGCTACACCCTTACCTGAAACTCACCAGCAGGTGTCATGGGTATGGGGATATGGGAAGCTTTTCCTTCACTTTTTTGAAGAATTATACCTTTTCTGTTTCCATGTATTGACTGCTGCTCTGATTTCAATTTTAGAAAAAGCAGTAAAATGTTACTAATACAATGGAAGCTTCCTGGATATAATTATCCGTTGCAATGTTTTTGTAAATAATAGTAGTAAGTAGTAGTAATAACAGCTGACGCTATTCAGCACTTTGTGTCAGACACAGTTCCAAGTGCTTTACATTTGCTAATTCATGCAGTTTTCACACCAACCTGAGAGAAGGTATTAATATTATCCTCATTATATAGCAGAAGAAAGTAAAGCACACAGGGTCCACAGTAAGTAGTTGGACCAGGATTGTCAAAGAATGTGGAAGGAATGTGAATGTGAAATGTTACCTAACTTGTGGTCATTATAGTCCCATCTCTCGGTTTTGGGACTTTGCCTTAAAGAGAGATTATGTGGAATACCCTGGAACTTGGTGTTAAATTGGGTTTCCTTTTGAATTCCTGGGATCTCAAGGCGGTTATTCGGTAAAAATTAGAGGCAGGAAATGAGGAAGATAAGCACATTTGAGTAAGTGTTGGAAAGTTGTCCCTACACCCCACACTCCCATCACAGTATACTTGCCCACGAAGACTGCATTTATTTATCATGTAATTTTTCTCCTTTGCCTGAATGTTCTTTTCAGCTTGATATTTGTTTTCTTCCTTAAGAAGATGATGTATAAACTTTGAAAGATTGATCATTATGTAAAAGCTGGCTCGCACAGTTCCAAAATGTGAGCAGTTGAAAACAGTGGAGAAAAAAAAAGGCAGGAGTAATTTATACCAGTGAGGACTCCTTTTTATTTATATGTCTTTAAAAGAAAAATCAGAGCCTTGAGTTCTGTACATTTACTAGAACTGCTGCCTCCCACATACAGCTTTACTTTGCACGTTTCCTCCAAAGCTGCTTTCCCCTCTGATTTTTCTTAGTTGAAGGCAGTTCCAGGAGAATCCACCAGCGTTCCATTGCTACCCAAGATCTAGGAAACCTTTGTTGGGGACACTCTGAGAAGGAACTGGCTGTTAGGAGTCTCAGTTAATGTTTGGTTACTTGGAACCTCAGCATTGATTAATGTTTCCAGTAAGCAAATGTGAAGACTGTTGCCCAAATGGCAACACTGGAAACATAACCCATGTTCTTGTGGTAGCTGCCCTCCCATGTCAGGTTTCCATCACTGGCAGGCAGACCACACAGGGGCTTGGCACTTCCAGTTGCATTTCCTCCTCTGTGTTCACCAAGCAACATGTGTGATCTTGGGCAAGTTACTTAGCTTTTCTGTGCCTTGTTTTCCTCACCTCCAAAATGGGGATATTAATAGGGTTGTTGAATATATTTAATGTGTGCAGAAGAGTGCCTGGTATGAGTAAGAGCTTAATCTTTTCAGCATCTCCATTGTTGTTACTTTGAGCACCATAGAATTTCAGACATCATTGCAGGTTATGTGAGTTGTATAACTGGGAGAGTTTGTAGGTTCTCATTTATTTCATCTCCATGCTATTTACCATTCCTTAGAAAAATATCACCCAACCTAGAAACCTACTTAGGTAATTTCTGATGAATACTATTTGGCTGATGACAAATTCAAGCAAATGTGGAGGTTCTTTTAGACATCATGAATGCTTTAATTTTTTATGCAAAGCATTTGTATCTCCTCTGTAATATCCAGTGATCAGTTGTTTGTTGAGGTTAGCACTAAGTTCCAGTTTTCTCATCTGTAAAGTGGGAATAATAAAACTGTGTTCAGCTCACAGGCTGCTGTAAGACTCAAATGAGACGGGAAATATGGGATCTATTTGTAAACTAAAAACACGGACTGCACACAAAATGCAATTGATTTTATGATATGAAAATAGTTTTATAATCCAGAGATAAGCTTTATTATTTTTATTGCAACTCCCATAAGTAACGACTGAATGTGGACCTAAAGAAGGATGTCACAGGACCCGAAGTAGCATTAAGGATGGGCAGAGGTGAAATAGATCACCTTCCCTGTTTAAGTCAAGACTGAGGGACCAGTACAGGAACTGAAATAAGACTTTTTTTTTCTCTATTACGTGAACATGATGTCTTTCAGAGTAGACGGTGGAGGTTTTCCTAGGACACATGTTTTCCGTATTGGGCAGCTGTAATTAGGGAGTGTTCGTTTAGAACGTGGCCTGTAAAGGTGTACATGGATGTCTTAGAGGCCAAGTTTTCCATATTTGCTTTTCCAAATTTTGAGTTCCTCAGGATAAAGTGATCTTTCTGTAAATACTCAATGTCCCCTGCAAAGGGGACTTTTCTTATAGGAATAAATGATGCTTCTTGTTACTGTTACTGTGGTAACATATGAAAAATAGATGCCTTTTCCATTAGGCCTATCTAAGGACCTTTTCAAAGTGTGTCTTGAACAAGGTCCTACTCTTTGCATGGCCCTCTAAAAGGGATGGGCAATGGGAAGAGGAGATTTGGTTAAGGGAAATGAAAATGGCTTGTACATCCTGAATTAGGCATCTTGTGCTTGGTGTCACACTCAAAATCTCTGTAATATCTTCTACAGCTGGCCTTAAATCAGAATTATCTGGAGGGTTGTTTAAAACGGATTGCCAGGCCCCCTCCACTGCAATTGTGATTCTGTGGGTGGGAGGTTTGCATGTCTAACAAGCTCCCAGGTGTGGCTTATATTGCTGGTGGGAAGAGGGCAGAAGGGACCCTGGGAGAACCACTGCTCTTCAGTCAGTTGCTGTTAGGGAAACTTCTGGCTGAACCAATTGCATTTTACCTAAAGTACGTTCTGACGTTTGTAAATGCCACTGTGAATTTACAAGCTATGATTAAAGGAGCGTCTAAGGCCTGTCTTGCTGACCAGGACAGAGTTGGCACTCTTGCTGAGACCTTTTAATTGTAAGGGTTCTTGTTCTTTATCCATGGAAAATGTTAATGATCCCATGTGATTAAACTTAAGCTTACCAATGCTAATCATGTCACCTTTTCCTTTTTTCCCTTTGGATTGCCAAAAGCTGGCCATTGTTTTGCTGCCATTTCAAATATTTTTAATCACCTAATTAAAAAATATGAACATAGTTCTCTGCTGAAGAGCTAATATGTTTAAGATTGCACCTAGATAGAGGAAGATTGGGAAACTTTTACGGTGGCTTTTGGTTTTGTTTAGCCTTTTCTTCCCCCTATGAAATGTCAACTATAAAAATCTTTCATAGACTCAAGCCAGAACTTTAGACTACCAAAACCATCTCTTAGAGGCACATTCCCCTTAGAAGAACACTAAAAATCCAGGTAAAAACTGGGTAAAATTGTAAATTCTGTTAAAAGATTTGTTGTACTGCGTATGACTTCAGGAATAAATAGTTGCTACCTGGGCCTAGAAAAAGTTGGAAGTTTATTGAGATGGAATTGAATGTATTTTGCTGGTGCTGTAAGTCAGAGGAAGCAAATTTGTTTCACATGGAGTTGCTCCCCTAGTCAGGTGAATTCTATCCCCAGCAGTCTTGGCTTTAATTTTTGTTGCTGTTGTTGTCCCATTACCGTGAAAGGCTTTCCGTTCTCTATGCCTTCATGTTTGTACCCTTGAAGTATTTGCTGCTGGTTAGGGTTTCCTCAAGACAGAACCCCTTTATGCAACAAGCAGGCTGCCATTGCTTTGCCTGTTTTCATCTTGGAATGTGTTAACTTTTCTGGCTGGGAACCCTGGTAGCAGTGCCCTGGACTTTCTATGTTCTGGTTTGGATTAATGTTGGTTGGTGCTGAACCTGGCTCCTCTACCAGCTTGAGGGCTTCTTCCTCTTCGTCTCTGTGTTTGGCACCTCTGAGCACAGGCCAAGCCTCAGCAGGGACCAGTAAGTATTTGATAACCTCTTGGGGACTCCGTGCAGGATACTCTGAGGTACTCAGTTGGCAAACACTTGGTGGTGTTAATGTTAATCCTGGAAAATTCTTTATTATGACAATCAAGGGTGGTTGCATATAAAGTCTTGCATCACTAATGCTGGTAGTCTTCAGAATGGTGTTTTATTGTTTTAAAAAAAATAGGTTATAACTTAATGTCTTCACAATTGCAAAAACATTTTTCTCTAGAACACTTGGAAAATTAAGACAAGTGTAAGAGAGTGTTGTACTGACCTATAATTCCACCTCTGAAAGATAACTGATTAACATTTTGTTTTAGAATCTGATGGATCTATTCTTTATAGTATACTATTATATAGATAGTATGTGTCTATGCTTTAAAAGCATATATGAATTCCAGTGGGTTCACACTGTTTAATGTACTTATTTTTGTAACTTAATCATAACAGTTTTTGTTTGTTTGTTTGTTTTTGAGCTGGAGTCTCACCCTGTTGCCCAGGCTAGAGTGCAGTAGCACCATCTCGGCTCACTGCAACCTCTGCCTCCCGGGTTCAATTTTTGTGTTGTCAGTAGAAACAGGGTTTCTTCATGTTGGCTAGGCTGGTCTTGAACTCCTGACCTCAGGTAATCCACCTGCCTCAGCCTCCCAAAGTGCTGGGATTACAGGCATGAGCCACCACGCCCAGCCAACAAACATTTTTTGTGTCATTAAACATTCATGTATAACATTACTAGTGGCTGGGAAATATTCCCTTGACTACATATATTATAACGAATTTTGAAGCACTTTGACCATATAGAGTTTTCCTATTTGTCACTATTATGAATAATCCACATTGTTGTTGGGAATATTAGCTGATACAACTTTTTTTAAAGTCAGAATAGCTACAAATTTTAAGTGGGCATAACTTCTGAGTCATCAATTCCAGTTTTTTGCATATCCTCCATAAATACATGTTGACATGTGCAAAGAAATATGTAGAAGATGGTGACTGTTGAATTGTTTGTAAGAACAAGTTGCTAGTACCACACTCCTATAATAATTTAAGGAGATTTTTAAAATACATTATTTTTCTATGTCAGTGCAATGATTTACTGTGTAGCTATTTAAAAGATTTAGCCATTAAAATGTTCTCTGGCTAGGCAAGGTGGCTCACACCTGTAATCCTAGCCCTTTGGGGAGGCTGAGGCAGGCGATCACTTGAGCCCAGGAATTCAAGACCAGCCTGGGTAACATGGTGAAACTCTACCCCTGTGGCCAGATCAAAGATGGTAGAATAGGAACAGCTCCGGTCTGCAGCTCCCAACAAAAGACTTTCCTGATCTTTGCAAAAATAATAATAATAATAATAATAATAATTAGCAGAGTGTGGTAGCACATGCCTGTAGTCCCAGCAGCACATGCCTGTAGTCCCAGCTACTCGGGAGGCTGAGGCGAGAGTATCAATGGAGCACTCACCTGTGACCTCCAGGAGGTTGAAGCTGCAGTGAGTCATGATTGAGTCACTGCATTCCAGCCTGGCCCTGTCTCAAAAAAAAAGTTTTCACTGGGATGGAGGGAGGGAGCAAGTGTTGAAAAAGTACCTATTGGGCACCATGCTTACTCTCTGGGTAACAATAAATCATACCCCAAACCTCAGAATCACACAACATACCCATGTAACAAACCTGCACATGTACCCCTGAATCTAAAAATAAAGCTGACCTGACATTAAAAATAAAAGTAAAATAAAATAATGAAAGCTTTTCACAATACACTAAATTTAAAAGGGCAGGTTCCAGTACTAGACTAGTGTAGTGTAGCGTCTTGCTCTGAATTGGTTAATTTTTTTATAAGAAGCATATATTAAATTTGTAGTGCCTAAAGTCAAGGAAGATAAGTAATACAACAGACATTCTTGTACATAAATGTTTTTCACATCTTTTAATATTTAGAATAAATTTCTAGAAATTGGCCTCTTTTCTCACTTTCTTGACTCTTCCCTAACGCTGTAAGTTAGATTTAACATTTGCCAAGTTGATTGGAGAAAAATAATCTCGGCTTAGTTTTCATATTTAGTATTTGTTAGGGTCAGTAAATTTGTTGGCCATTTGTCATTTTGCTATTTGCATCTTAATCTTTAAAACATTTTTCTTATTGATTGATTATCCTTTTCTTGGAGTTTTATAATAACACTTTATATGAAAATAATAGTAATCCTTTTTCAGTCATACATTGCAAGTATTTTCCCCCATTTATTTTTTATCTTTTACTGTTTTGTTTATGGTATTTTAACATATCTAAGGTTTTTATTTTTATGTAGCAGAAACTATACATCTTTTCCCATTAGCTTTCTACCTTTACTTATATATTTAGGAAAACCTTTTCTTATTCCAAGATACAGCCAATATTTTCTTACTTTTTTTCTTATAATTCTTTAGTGGTCTCATGTGTTATGAGATATTAAAATATTTTTAATTTTTCTAGGGTATGTTGTGAGATGCAACTCATTTTCATTTTTTGAAACAGTCAACCAGTTAGTGGTCTCAAATGCTATTTATGGAATAATCTACTTTTCCCCCTGTGGTTTGAAATTCCATTTTCATCATATGATAAATTCTGGGTTTTTTTTTTTTTTAAAACAACTAAAATAGTTTCTTTGTAAAATGATAAGATCTGGGACATACTGTAGCATATGAACTAAGCACACAGGACTTGGAATCTCATCAACTCTGGATTCAAATCTCAGTTCTGCCCTACTAGAAGTTTAACATGAGACACACTATGCTTTCTTCTTCTTCTTTTTAAAAGTCTCCTTCTAACTTTTTAAAATAATTTTTAATTCTTATGGGTACGTAGTAGATATATAAATTTACAGGGTACATGAGATAGTTTGATACATAGGCATCCAAAAATGTGTAATAATCATATCAGGATAAATGGAGCATCTGTGACCTCAAGCATTTATCCTCAAACAATCCAATTAGACTCTTTTAGCTATTTTAAAATGTAAAATTCAATTATTATTGACTATAGTCCCCTGTTCTGCTATCAAATACTAGATCTTATTCTTTCTACTTTTTGCACCTTTAACCACCTCTACTCCCCCACGCCTCCCACTACCCTTTCCAGCCTCTGGTAACCAGCAATTCTACTCTGTCTCCATGAGTTCAATTGTTTTAATTTTTAGCTGTCATGAATAAGTGAGAACATGTGAAGTTTGTCTTTCTGTGCCTGGTTTATTTTCATATGCTAAATTCTTAAGTATTGGAATCTGTTTATGGAATTTCAGTTTGGTTCCATTATATTGCATTTTTGCCCTTATTATGAATGTGTTCACTCATTTATTCTACAAATATTTATTAAGCATCTATTCTGTGCTGGGACCACTTCTAGATGCTGGGGATTCAGCCAAGAATGAGACAGAGTTTCAGTTCTCATGGACTTCTGTTCTAGTGTGGGAGACATTTCCTCCTGCTATCTATTCTAATTGGTTATTGCTGGTATATAAAAGCTTTTTTTTTCATACTTATGTCTTAATGAGTTTTGTTAATTCTAATAGTCCTTCAGTTGATCCTCTTAGGTTTTCTAGGTAGATGATCATTGAAGTTTGTATAACTTTGCTTCCTTCCTTTTAATATTTTAATCTCTTATTAAAGGTTCTAATATATTATTAAATATTAAATTATTAATATTTTAATCTCATATTAAATATCTTAATTCCTTATTAAATATTAAATTATTAATATTTTAATCTCTTATAGTGCAGACTAGAGCTTTAAGGGCATAGTTTCTTAAAAGGCAGTAGATATTCTTGTATTTTTCATGGCTTTACGGATGTTTGTGCATTTAACAGTAAAGTATGAAGCTGAACTTTTTAAAATATATGTTTTTAAAACATATATTCTTTATGATGTTAAAACATGTTTTTCATCATAATTTACTAAAGACGTTGGCATTTTTGTTTTGTTAGTTTTTTTAAGCAGGAGGCGATACTGTGTGGGGTTTTTTCCCCAGATGTTATTACAGTAATGCCATTTCTGATTTCGAGAGTAAATGACATTGTAATTTGTAGCTGAGGCTGCTAAGCAGCATCTTGATGCTTCATTGAACTTTAAAAAACTTAAAACCCCCAGATACACTATTGTGTCCGTTAGATGCACAACCAATGCTTATGTGAGAGAATTTATTGTTGATTGTTTTTTGTTTCTTTTCTGTTGTGTTGTTAAGACCAGTACGTCTGGGTTAAAATAGTAGACTCTTACAGTGAGACCATATCTTCAGCTTGGGTTCCTTAGGGGCTTTAATCTGAGTTTGAATGAGGTCAGTAAAAATTCTCCTGGGCGCTCAGAGGATAGATGTACCTTTACTCTTTTGTGTCATCTCTGGCCAGGTCTGAGGCATTCTCTTTGTCATTACTTTACTTCCAAGGGGCATCGGAGATTAACCGGCTAAACAGTTCAGGTAACATGGTCACACAAAAGTGGCTGAAGCTGATAAACAAGAGGTTTGCAATTACACACTTTCCTCCCTTCCTTCTGCCAGTTCTTAGCAACTAACAAGGAAAACTCATATTTATGATACTTTTTTTGATTGACAGAGCTTAAGATCTGTAACTTCTGCCATGGCGGCAGCCTGAGGAATTGGCGTATGAATTATGGTGGACACAACCTGTCTATCTTATTTGTCACCGAGCACAGTTGGAAATTTGGGCTGGAACCCTTCTCACCTTGGGTTGGTTTCTGGGTTTTAAGTTTTGCAATGGAGGAATGCATCA